TCTTCTGGTGGACACTCATCTTTCACCTGGTGGCTCTGCGGATCGATGTTGGGGCCCCCCGAAGAGACCTACAGTAGCGCGTCTACCTGGCGGTTTGGGGGGTTCTTCTTGGGGGACATTTCGGGTTTGACGAATTCTGCACGGTCTGCACCCTCGTTGGAACGGGCCAGACCACACATGTCCGGGTTTCACGGCGACTCCCGCCCTGAAGGTAATAGGTCCTCATTGTGGGCCCTTTCAAGTCACTGGCACAAATCAACAGGGGGTGTAATATGAATAGGTTCGGACTAAGGAGCCAGTCTTATCCCCTTATCCTATGAAGTATACTATACTGGACTCGAGTATACTCTACTCTACTACACTATAGCATATCTACAGTAATGGGAAAGGCCCCTATATGTGCAGTAGGCGAGATGCGAGATCCCACTCTTCGTGGGGCGCCCAAGCCGCAGCCCATGGCAGCCACCAAAACCAGGGGAGCACGAACAGGTGCATCCGTCGTGAGCGGGCACATGGCGGTGGTTTCCGACAGAAGGGGTGGTAGGGTTTAGGGTTTAGGGAGAGTCTCATATGTCAGGGCTCCTAGATGGTCCTACTCCTACCCGAGGCCTCGAAAACCCTACACCTACATGATTTGGCGTCTCCCTGGTTTCTGCAGCTGCCACATTACCCGACCTCCGGAGCTCGAACTCTTCGTTATATTCTTGCGCTTCCTCAACATGTATGTAGGGTCGGAATAACAACTAATGGTGGTATCCCGATAGAATATTCGCCCTGAGACTTCGGGGAAGGTGCTCGCGGCTTCAGAGGACGCAGTGGAAGTGCTAGCCTTTTGCTGTTCATATAGTTTATACACATCAGAAGGATTTGCAGTCGTACGTGCAGCAGAAGCAGAAAAAGCAGTAGTAGCCGTCGTCGTCTTCTGCTTTGTCGTAGTGGTGGTAGTGGGAGCAGCACAACAGCAGCGGATTCAACTGACCTTTCTCTTTCCGCAGCCTCTGAAGGTAACCGGCGTCCTCGTTTGAGGTCCGGGCTTGAATGGTCGGCGTGTGTAAAGCAGGTGCTGCGGACCATTCTAGAAAGGAAGCAGATCTATGTAGTGAGAGGCTATTTTTGATGGTGGGCTGGTCACCTTCGCAACCTGGGGCGTTTTGCACATGGTTCGCCCCATGAATTCGAGTTGCTTCTCCTAACATGGTTGTACTACATTCTTCGCACGCCTGCACTTCAGAAAGCTACGAGCCACTTTGGGCAGTGGTAGCTGCCAGGCCCTGCAACATTTCTGCAGGGCGATAGCAGCGCCTGTGCCAGCTCGCGGCCCGGACTTTTGCATGTAAACTTAAAGGCTTTTTCAATCGCATCAGGCTACTTGAGATTATAACATCTACCTGGACCTACCTCCCACGAAGGCTTCGGAAGAGGAGTTCTGAACTGTACTGCGTTGTGCTCCCGATGCCAAGGACACACGTCGCTCCTAAACCCACCACGACACATGGAAGCAAAGCTTCCGCTAGTGCTCTTAACTTCCGATGAAAGCACTCCCACTGTAGCGGCAGCTGCAGGCAACTGAGACTTCCCTCACTGAACAACGCAGCAGCAAGACTTCTTGGCCTCTGCAGGGGCTGTCGGGGGCTAATGCGCCAAGGGCAGGCTAGGGCAGGGACTGCAACACCGGGAGCACAGCCTAGAGCTGTCATCTTGCGTCGTAACTATTGCTCTTCGGCAGCGGGTTTAGTGCACGTGGTTGCTGATAGCTGAGACTGGTGAGCAGTGAGCACGGACAGCAACTAGGCATGCACCAAGACTGCGTCACAACATCTAGAAATTTTGCTAGAACACGAAACGGGTAAGCCATTGATGTGCGAGGGATGTCGAGAATGAGCTTACTGAGCTGGTAGTGCCTTCGGCAGAACAGTACCCGTCATAGCAGTTTCTGGCAGCCAGCCGCCAGTCGTGGGAGTTGCAGTTGGGCCGAAGCTGAACACGTTTCAACTCATGTGGAGTAGAATTAGAAGGCGAAGTATGTGAAGTAGAAGGCCCGGGAGACGAGACTTGATCAATCTGGCAAAGCCCCCTCCGACACCTAGGAGGGCTTGCGATGACTTGTGTGCTAGAACCCATCATATACAGAGCCGGGTGGGATAACCCTAAACCGCTTTCCGCCGCACGGAAGTTCTACATACTTAATGGCCCCTAAAAGCCATAAGAAAAAACACAAACAATGCAGCAGGCCCATGGTTTGCCTTGTTCAACTCCTGCTGCATCTCTTCGCGCTCCTTCGCGTACTTCTGCTCTGCCTGGGTTTGGCGGGTTTGGACCAGTGGTTCAGGGTTGCGGAGTGCATGGCCGCATCTGTACCCAAAGAAATCCAAGAGCCCTCTCCATCTCTCCACATATGTACATGTACATGGTTGTTATCTATATATATATATATATAAGTCTGTATATGTATATGTGTATGTATTTATGCATCCGTGCTGCTCACTAATTAAGGATGCTTTCACAGATGTCTCAAAAAGGTGGCAGGGCTTCTGTGCGGGCTTACATTTGTTGAGGGTATAGTTCTTCCGATACCAGTACAGTCCGAGATCGTGGCACCTAACATAGGACGTCGACGTGCTCCGCCGTTCTACACAAAGTCGGACAGAGTTTACTGGTTGGCCCTTGGGTTCACCATACCCCCTGCTCAAACCTGAATACCCGAAGCCCACTGAAGGGAATTCCTGATGCAAAAGAGCCCTCATAACAATCCTAAACCGCACACCCCAAGAATTCTAAACCCCAAACCCATCAAACCGAAACCCCAAACCCCCAAATCTCCGAGAATCCTAAACCCTAAACCCTTCACCCTAGAACACTGATTGGTTCAGGAACCCTGGACGCGTCGATGAAACTTAGAGCTGTGCTTATCGATTGGGCATCTCCCTTGAAGCCACATGTTCAAGAAAGCAGTTTACGATAGGATAGAAAGGACTACTAGAAGGAACGCCAAATCCGACAAAATCCCCATGCTAGAGGCAGCACAGGAACTACGAGCCTTGCGAGCAGAGTTCAACCGGAGGCACGAACACGATGTGGCTATGGCCCTCCTGGGCCTAGAAATGTTATGTGGGAGGTATAACTTCTTGGCATCAACGCAAACCGTGAGCCGGGATGCCGCAGCCATCTCGTCCTTCGGGTCATGTACTGCAGCATACTCTTTTTAGCTATATGGGCAGGTCTCTGCAATAACGTCCAATTTCTAGTACGACACCCGTATAAAAAGGGCTTTAAAAGGGAACTTAATTTAGATAACTACCCATATCATCAAACTTGTTGGGGCGATCAGCCCGGAACTCGCATCCGGTAGCCTCCCCACTCGGAGTTCTAAACGGAAGTCCCTCGTTCCTCGGTCCTCAGAACACCAAGCCTGAAAACCGTCTAAACCCAATGATAGCGCTCTCTGGCGGCTCAAGTGACATTTTCAAGAGCCTCCCCGACTTTTTTGAACCCGGAGCTCTATCCAATCAGCCGGGAGCCATGCCCAGGGGACATTTTTTTTTCAAGAGCCCCTTTTTCAGCACGGACTGAGGTGCCCCCCAGCGCCTATGTGCCCCGAAACCCTAAACCCTAGCTATAACTCCTGCGACCCGGTGCCAATCCGAAGCCTTCACTGCCTAATGTCAGAGAAAGTATAAGTTAGTAGCCTCAGATCTAAACCGGTACGAAGGATCAACGAATAAAGCAAATCGAGTTGAAGCTTGGCTGACATTCTGGTGCAAACAAGAAGTTGGGCCAATCGAGAACTACTTCGCATTTCTGAAGAATGCGAGCCGCTGCACCAGAAAATTGTCACAGACTGCCGATGTGCCTGCAGTGCCTTGTTCTTGGCCTCAAGCTTCTCCACCTTCTCGCCATCATCCGGGTCACGGCTTAGGTTTAGGGTTTCGGCTTTAGGTTTACTGTGACATGAAGTTCTCTGACTCTGTCCATCAGACATGCTTCGGGCAGACACCTACATGGCAGCAGCTGATCACCAGTGCACTCCTGGCCTGGGAGCTGCTCAACAAAAGGCCAGACTATCTACCAAAGATGAAGCTACTATGAGGCTTTCTTTAAGGGCGCCTTTAAGGGTTCCTTTAAGGTTTCTATAGGGGTACTAGCTGCCTTTCTCCGGTCCGATGCAAACCAGGGCCACCCTCATGAGAAGGACCCGCCACAAGACAGGGAGAGGGAGCCCTGAACCTATTCTATTCTATTCTTTAGTAAGGCCTCAGTATCATAGAACCCCTGTCCATCCCCTAAGGAAGCCCTTTTTACCCTAAACCCTAAACCCTAAAAAAATCCCTAAACCCGAGACCTCGAATCCACAAAGGCTTCCCCACCTCGGCCTGGACAGTTTTGGACTTCCCATCGGCCAATGTGACCTGGGCGAAGTCCGGGGATTCTCCGGGAGCTGTCGGTGATAAAACACTATAATTTTTATAATTTTATATCCTATAACTGATAACTATTATTAAAACAGAACTATAAGATACCTTACGATAATGTACTATGCTATAATATACGATACTTCAGTCTCAACCTTCTCTGAAAGCTCTCTGCAAGCAGCAAGGCCCCTTTTCCGAAGTCTCGTTTCGCTGGTCGAAATGGAACTCCGCCTCTTCAAGGAGGCGGTACGCACGTCTATACCCAAGCTATACCTATGGAGGCAAGTGGTTTCAAGACCAAAAGTTCAAATGTACCAAGAGTGTCTAAAATTTCGGGCGCAAGACCAATGCCATGCTTCCGTCTCAAATTGAAGCAACTTAATTCTAGGGGAGATCTCCGATCTCTTCACATTTCGTGCATGCTCAGCCCAACACTCCGTACTTGCGGCTCGGAGCGTCGTCTATGCGAGGTAGGCTTTAATTGCTTTTGTACACCTGGGTCTATGCAAATCCCAGGAACCGAGGCGCCGACTATGCCATGGACTCGTGCCACACGGCTACCCCAAACTACAAAAGATGATCAACCGGTCATTAAGTTTTCAAGAAGCAATGACCACGTGATAAATGCTTGAAAGCGAACCAAAACTGAGGATAGTGACGTTTGGCAGCGAGGTTGTTAGTAAGGCAACCAATGAGAACTAGAATCACAGAGCCAAGGAAGGCTGGGGTAAAGATATACATCCATGCAGACTTCTGGAGGAGGGACACGGTCACGTACAGAAGCGCAGTGGCCCCACCCGGTGGATGCACACTGTTCGTAAGCTCCTGCAGAAAGATGGTCAAGGAGACGCAGAGAGCTGCGCCCACACCGACACACTCCTCGATGCCTGCCAGTAGAAACAAGTGGTAGACTGCCACCCCCACGAAGCCGCCAATGGTATTGCCGACGATTGCATTTTTCGGCTGAGCGTAGGGCGTGCTCCATGCAGAGAAAATAAGGACCGACATTGCGCCGAAAGCAGCCACCATCAACCTCAGGGCGTCTTGCACCTGAGGGATGATCAGATGTTCTTCCAGCAGTCCGAGGGAAGCGATGGCAAGGAAGGAGCCCAGCAAACTGCACCATGTCTGGTTCAAGGGTGGGGAAGCGGTCGGAAGGGGCGCAGCCCCTGCTCCCAGGAACTTCCTGAAGTAGCAACGGATCTTGCTCACTCTCGCCGTCTCTTGCTCACTGTCGCTGCTGTCCGGGCCCTTCTGGTCTGAGGCTTGTTGGGAAGGTGCGGAGGGCCATGGCCACCAATACTGCGGATAGATGCGATCCTCTGCGAGGTTGTTGGTCACGCAGCCCACGGCCACGAGGATGACTGCACCGAGGAAAGAGGGGCAAAAAATGAACCAGTAGCCCATATCCTGCGCAGCCGGTGTCAGAACGTAAAGCAGGGCTGTCGCACCGCCTGGTGGATGAACTGACCTTGTCACCTCCTGGGCCAAGATGGTCAGGGAAACGGAGATAGCGGCACTCAGCCACAGCAACTTCTCAAGGCCCAGCTGAGTCATCACGTTGCAAACTACCACGCCCACCAGGCCGCCTAGGGTGTTGCCCAGGATCACATTTTTGGGCTGGGCTGCCGCCGTCTTGTAGCCGCTGAAGATAATCACCGACATGGCCCCGAAGGATCCCACAAGGAGGACCATACTGGCATATGGCATCATGACGTACTTGTGAAGTAAGCCTATGGCACACATCCCCATAAAGGCACCGACGAAGCTGGACAGGCTGTGGACCATCAATACCCTTGCTGGAGCATCCTCTCCGGCACCCAACATCTTCTTGCAGTAGCTCGGCGCTGGAAGGGGCTCTGGGGGGTCCGCCATGGCTAGAAGATCAGGGGATTTAATGTAGGGGCCTCAATCAGTAGAATATAGGGCTTTGGGGCCGATTATACTATAAGTATTTTAAGGAACCTCCTAAAAATAGTGTAGGTAATTATTTCGGCCCCTAAAAATACTAAACAAGGGAGGCGCCGGCTCGAGACTCCTCGAGGGGCATCCCTCTTGCTGCGGCTCTCGGTCTTCGGAGCCGAAAAAACTGTGGGAGCGCCTCGTCTCCGCAAAACCCGTCCCTCCCGAGTCTAGGGTTTAGGGTTTAGGGTTTAGGGGACTCCCGAGCACCCCGAGACTGGGCTCTTGTCGGGGTTTAGGGGTTTCGACTCACACACTCGCACGAAGCTGTTTAAGGGTTTAGGGGTTTAGGGTTTAGGATTATGTTGGGATTATAATACTTCAGGGAGGGTTTCGGGAGCTTAAGTTACCCCAATGCGGCTTTAGAGGGAAAACACATGGCTTCCTTACCACGGTAACTTAAACTAAGCTCCTGGACAAGCCTTAGTGACCCCCACCGGATCAGGGAGAATGGTAGCGCAAGATTGCGGGACTGACTGGGGCGATGAAGAAGATGACGGCCGTGGTTCACGATGAGTGCATGATTCATGCGTTTCATTGAAACTGGCTGGTAACTCAAAGATTCATAGGAGCACTCGTAGGAGTCAGACTTGTGCAAAGTATTGTCGCAACGGCGAACAGAGCGCCATCGCCCCGACCTGGGTTCCCGGCTGTCCGCTGCTCTTGGAGCGCAGTTTGCCAAGCTCGGAGGACAACGAGGCAAGAGCACTGGACCTTCCGAGCTTTGTGCAAAGGCGACTTCCTGGTTCGGAACTTGAGGAGTTGGAGGCTGTGCATAGATTTCGTTCCCCTGAGCCCAAAGCTCTTCGTTTCGGGGTTATGGGTGCTGTCATGTAGCCGAGTTGGCTTAGGCTAACTCGCTCATGGTCTGTCAGGTGCCTGTACTAGATAGTATACTAGTATATAATATATATATATATGACTATACGTGATTATACTAAGACTATACCGTCAGGTACGATACGGTACCGTACTACGTTCTATGCTATACTTAACATACGGTACTGTACGGTTATGTCATGGAGCAAGGTTCAACTTGTGGGCTGTACAGATCCGGGCTCGAGGAGCCGGGGACAAGATTTGGGCCTCTTTGCCGAGTAACCTTAAACAGCCTTAAACCCTAATTAAACCGTAGATCAGGGCTCACTCCACGTCGCCCTTTAGAAGCTGACGATGTTCGGCATTCATTGTTCACGACTACAAAACTTACACAGGCGGCATTGGGTGAGGTGTATATCATGTGAAACGCCTCGCACCCGTCCACTTTCCCAGGAATGCCTGGGGTCCTAGAGACAGGGGAGAGTCAAGGCAACACGCAAACTCGATTGCTACGATTGCCACGCCCCGAAAGCCACTTGAAGCCGGCATCGTAGATACGATCTGGCATCCGAAAATGAAGGACGCGTCACCAAGCTGTCTCTGACGAACTACGTTGTGGACAACCAACAAACCGCATAAGCCAAAGCAAAGCAAAGACACTACACAAAGTCTTGTGGGGAGTTGTTCGGGCTGGAACTCAACCTTTCAGCGACCTTTTCTGAGTCAAACTCTGAACCCATGATGTCCCCATGACTGAGACATGCAAGAGCCAAAGCACAGCCACCGGCCTGAAGCTCTCCCAGCTTTCGAAGCGCCACTTCCTTGCACCTTGCCTGAGAAGGGCTCGGGAATTTGGGCCGGTATCGTAGAGATGCTACGGACTGCAAGGCCACCCGAAACTTGCACAAAGGATCTGCGGATCCATCTTACCCCAGGGCGAGCAGGCGCCGACCGCCTAATGCCAGTGGCTAAGCCGCAAGACCGACTACACAAGGGTTTCTGGGATCCAACACCACCACCCTTCACCGGGACCCTGCTTCGAAGTTCCGAAGCTTCACCAAACCCCAATCTGCTTTCGAAGTGCCAGCTTGGGGACGTAGCTCACCACAGCAGCAGAGGGCCTCGGCGGCATCATGATTTCAAGTCTCCCAGCTCACGTACCTCAGGTGTGCGGTGACATTGTCAAGTCGCAAGATGTCCCAGCATGCTTGAAGCGGTCCTTCGGTGACCTTTCCGAAAACAGTCTGTGCCCGGAAATGAGGCCGCCGTCTTTGGGTTCTGAAAGTCGATCTCCCGGTGAAGGATTCAACTCTCACAAACAGGACGATGCAACCAGTCTCAGGATTTGGGAGAGACTTCAGGGTTGAGGGATTTAGGAGTAGGGGTTTAAGGTTTGGGGTTTAGGGGTTTGGGATTGAGGGCATAATAACCGGGTGTCTACAGTGCAGGCTCCACAACTTCGGAGGCGAGTCGACTCTGTCTCTTCCCCATTCATTAAACGAGGTGCATCCACGAAAACCATAACGTACAAAAGGTGCACAGCACCATGTCCTTCGTGCTGGGGAATGCTATGCTTGCTGCAAACCCGCAAATCCTTTGAACTTAGATCCTCTTGTGCACTTTGCATCAGGACTTGTGCAATCGCCTCGGGGTATCGCCACAACACGCATCGCCCATCGTCCCTTTTACTAAACCCTCAAACCCTAAAAACCCGAAATGACTGAAAACCCTACAACCTTTAGAAACCTGTATAGCCCTTCAGAACCCCGTAGAATCGTATCGATCCCTACCCCTGAGATTCCGGCCGGAGCTTCAATCGCCTTAGGTGCATCGAGGTCTTTTCAGTGAGACAGCTGTAATGCGGTGCAACCTCAACATGATCGAACATCCCTATTTAGTTTTACTTCTGCGCGCCACTCTTTCGCAGAAGAAGTAGTTCTGTATGGAGTCGGAAGCAAGATTGGCGCTGCAGGGGGGGTTGTTCGTGATGCTCCTCCTTTGCCACTCTCTGCTGACTAGATCTGTAGCTGCCAGCACGTGCATGGGCATTGATCATCGTCACCATCACTGCATTCTTCTGCGTCCTATACGAACATGCTGTAACCGATGCTACGAGCAACATGTAGCACCAACATCCATATTATGTTTGCTTTTTCTTGGCATCGCAGCAGTACAGCCGAGGGTCCAGAGAATGAAGCACAGCATGGTGACGAGAAAGGTATTCTGGTACTCTCGCCTGGCACGGGAGGACAAACCATGTTGAGAATCCGAACTTGAGAAGGCGTGAGAATGCAAGGGTGGCGGACCTCTACCACTTCTAGCAAGCCCGAAGCTCGTCCAGTGCGAGCTTCACGTGCCTTGCCTGTGAATGGGTTCGGGGGAGGCCAAGCCAAGGCACTTCTCCACTCTGATCTGCGTCCTCTGGCAAGCCTGGAGGGCAGAAACGGAAATTCAACCCCTCCCCCTTCGCCCCCACCCCCCAAGCAACTCTTGAAATCGATGCCTATCATCCAACAACAGCTACCAACGGGTTCTGAATCGGAAGATGCAACAGCCGTCCTGCCTGAAAGATCTGAAACTTATCCCCCATACCCTGAAGAAGCTGCAGCAAGGTGACACGACGCATGCAGAATACATGCTACGTACTACATGTAGAATGTAGATGATGTAGTTGTACCTAGGTATGTACTATCACCAACCATCATCACATCATGGCTCTGATCTCTCTTGGTTCTCAGCCATACACTTGCCTTTATGCGCGCTCTTCCGACCATGCCCACTCGTAAGACTATGGCAGCGGTTCTGAGTATGGCTGAAAATTGAGCTACGTATGTCACTAATATAGGGGCCTTAATAATTAGAATCGGGTTTGGGGGCCCCATATACTAGACTTATAGTAAGGAACCCCCAAAATAATATTGGTAGTTCTTTAGGCTTATATTACCGCCAGATGATTCCTCATTTCGGGTCGCCGTGCTCAGATTTCTCGGACTGCCTCTGCTCGAGCAACTTGGACACGCCAAGCACGGAAAAGGGGCAGCATATCCTCAGGCGCTCGTACCGTCTCTCGGAACTCATGGAGTGCGCAGATACTATGCTGCAGCCTCCTCGCTTATCCTATATGTGTCTTGATATTTCACGGATACCAGAAATCCTCAGAGGCACATCCCCTCTGAAGCAACCTGCTGGCTCTGTGATGGGAGCGTGTGCAGCTTGGCAGCGTGCTGCAGTCCCTGCCCTAAGACAACTCAAACTGCCAACATGTCTGCCAGGCTGCCTCTGTGGGACGGAAGAAGCGAACCCAGCCTGCTTCTGGCTTTTTGCAATGGGGGCTCTGCTCCGGCCCATGAGGCGATGCATAGTGGCTTTTCCAAAGAAGCTTGCCCTAAACCCTACGCCCCATGCCCTCTATAGACCCCCTTTTCCCCTATACTCCACACACCCCCCCCCCCTCCACCAGAAAAAACATGGCTAGAAACCAGGGCCTCTCTGGAATCTCCTCTTTTGGACGATCTTCTTCCACATCCCGAAGGCGAGGCCACGCCTTCGTCGGCCGCGTTATTTGGGGGGGCTCCTGTTAGGTCTAAAGGAGACTAACGAGGGGCTCTTTGAGGGTTTGGCGGCAAAAAGTCTGGACTTCACGGGTTTTTTGCTCTTGGGTTTGGGGAGAGCGCTCGCCTCAGTTAATTAGGGCTCTTATCGGAAGATCGGGGTGTAGACAAGGTTTTTGGGAGCTCTGCGCTTCTAGGCGAAGTAGGGCTTCGATGGGTTTTTGAGGCTTCGGACGGTTTCGAAGGTTCCTTTGGTTTGGGGTGTGGTTTAGGGTTCGGGTCCAAGCGAGGGCGAGGGCGAAGAGTGCTCTGACTGAAGGCTCAAAGAAGCCCTCTGCGTTACATGCAGGGCCTTCGTAATTAGAACAACGTTCGGGGTATATATTCTGGTAGACTAGTCATAAGGAGCCCGAAAGAAAAGTAGGACTAACTACTCACGATTGGGAGCTTTCGGGCTCAGGAGATTAGTAGATTATCTTTCTTGCTTCATCCGTTTGGGTTTCTTCGTTTTCCCAGGAAATTGAGGAGTATGACAGAAAAGAAGCAGAAACCAAGCGGACTGGAAGGTATAGGCATCTTCGCTGCGGTGCAAGGATGTGTAAACCATGTATATGCTTATATGCATATACATGTACATAGTTATGCAGAAGATACTAGGTTTAGTCTAGTATATAGAAAGACACAATGTATAAACAGACAGATGAACCAAACGTTTAACATGCTGTGTCTCTCTCTCTCTCTCGCTCTCTCTCTCTCTCTCTCTCTCCCTCTCTCTGAAAATCCACACAACCTCGAACCAGCAAACTCAACAAAAGCCTTAAGGGTGCGGTCGCGCGGCGAGGCAAAAGTAAAGGCAGAGATGCAGTAGGCGATCGCTTGGCGTTTCGATGGGTCCTCGTCCCTTCGGAGGTTCTGGAGGAAAATGTATCCTCAGTACTTGGAGGTTCATGGGTAGTTCTAAGTAGGGTTATAAGTAGGGTAACTATAGTTATAACCCATATTAGGGGCCTTATAACCCCACTTATAACTACCCATGAACCTCCAAGTAGACCAAGAGACGTCCCGAAGATCAAAGCTTAGCGTGTCAAAACCCTCAAGCCGAGAGCCCAAACACCCTAGATCCCCAAAAAAGGCCGAGAAGCGTTAGCTCTAGGCCCGACTTAAAGGCCCTAACCCGAGATGTACTTGGAGGTTCATGGGTAGTTATAAGTGGGGTTATAAGTCCCCTAATATGGGTTATAGTTTATAGTTACCCTACTAATAACCCTACTTATAACTACCCATGAACCTCCAAGTACGGATTGGCCCGGCTTTACGCGCTCACAACTCGGACATGCCAAGCGAGGATCCATAGTCGCAGGTCGGGTGGCGCTGTTTGCAGGTTCGCTTGACCGGTACTATGCCAAGGACAAGCTAAGACATACCGAAACTAGAATAGCAAGGAGGAATCACTTTTTGGAGGGTCTGTGTTATGGGCTTCGTTGAGCCCTCAAACCTCAAGAATACCATGCCAGTAGGACTCTAAACGCTCAACGGCGAGGGGCTGTGCCAGCCCAAAAGCACCCATTGCAGCATCAGCACCGGCTGATCGTTAGCGAAGTGCGTCATGGCAGAAATGACCTGTGGAGATTAAAACAGTGATCCTTACGCCCCTTGTGGACCACTTGTGTGTGGCGTTCATCATTCACAAGCACGCTTGGACCACATCACCAGAACAAGCCGCAGGCCCACAGGTACAGGAAAGCCCGCAGCCTTGAATCGAAAGCCGTCTCCTGCTTCGCCATCGTATTACCGGAATGCAATATCTACCCACTCACGCTCACCTCCTAGAGTACGGGGCAACCGGAATTTTAGTTTCCACAAAGCTTGCTCAAGATTCCCAACATTCACTGGCGGCGGCTGCGACATGTTGCATAAATCCGCGGGCTGGTCCCAGACGATGATACTGGTGGTGATTGTTGCCGTTGTGGCTGCGGCCATTGGCGGCATTCTTGATAGAGACATAGTGGTGGCTTCTGAAATGACCGACAGGCTTGCTTCCGCCGTCCATCGTTATCAAGAGCATGGTCGAAACATCACGAACAACGGCTTGATCACCATTCTCATCATCACTGTCGTCGGCGGCAACATGATCATCATCGTGGTCGCCCTCTTCTTCGCGATCACGATCAGCAATAGCAGCATTGGAATCGGCGCCAGCATCGGAACCATCATTACCGTTGCTGTCATGAGCCATCATCATCATTATCATCATCATCATCATCCTCAGCCTCGTCGTTTTTGTCCTCTGCCTCCCTGCAATTCCACAACCACCCTGCCCCCTGGGCCTCCCCGGAGGTGCCAGAGGCCTTGAGCTTGGCTGTCAGGACCTTGGCCTTCAAGCCTGAGTGTCGAAGTCAAACAAAAAAGTGAGGGTTTCGGGTTGAGTTTGGGGATTTTATGCGGGACTCAACTTAGGGTTCAGGGCAGTCACCCCATGCATATCTCCGTCCGAAGGGCTTTCGACCTGGCTTACCCAGCGGCGGAAGATGCAAAGCTGTGTCACCTCAGGCCAGCTTCATTGATCTCGGCACGAACTCCGCGAAGACACGGCTCAGTCGTGCAAACCGAAAAAAGACATCCTAGCGACACGAGCATAGCACATGGTCCAAAATCTCACCAAGTATAGTCGCAGGAGAGTATAGGGTCCGTCTCTATGGGGGTGGTTTTTGGAATTCCATACAGAGTTCTGGAAGCTGGCGGGAGAAATAACTTGAAGCTTTCGAACTCCTCTTGCTGTCCCAGCAACAGCCTCGTGCTCGGAAGCCATGAACATGAGCGCCTTCTCAACCTTTGTGTCGCGGTGGAGTCTGCCTCAAAGCATGGGCTTCACTCGTGTAGCGAACCCTCTGCACCACAACAGGGTTTGAGTCGTAACGGGCAGCAGCAGCAGATGCAGTGGAGCATATTCATCATTTAATTGCACCATTGCGGTGTCATATTCAGGAAGATCGCTGACTAGGAGATGAGCATCAAGACTGACGAGTCTCCAAAGGGCGTCCACGAGTTGGTGCGGCAGTAGCTTAGTTTGAAGGTGTGATGACATCAGGCTTCGGCAACTGGTGGCTAACCTTTGGAGCGACTTCACCCAACATTCGCTAAAGGCCAAGCATGATAACCAGTCTGGCTTTGCGGCGCGGCTTGTGCAAACAAGTGGGTGCTCTGCCAGACGTTTCAATCTCAGCCGAGACACGTGTAAGGCCACGCACCTGAGATTCTTAGCAATGCATGATCACCCAACCCCTCGCTGCAACACACGAGTTGCCAATTACCTTGGACCTGGAGACACCCGAAGTTTGAGTCATCACCTGACAACCTTGTCAGGAGAATGCTTGGGTTGCGTTGGCATGCAGGCAGGTTCTCAAGAAAAGTGTCACTTGCGCTCAAATGCTCCACGACAAGAGACCTTGTCTGCGGAGGCCACCCAGCTCCAGGCTTGGAAGATGGTTCTGATTTTCAGGCTGTCCATGGACGGCGCAAAGGCCATGATGGCCTTGATAGCTCAAATCTCAGGAGCCGGTGGCACAGGGAGCTTCGTTTATCACATTGTCCGGGGAACGTCCTGCTCTCTACTAGCTAAGCTACTCCAGCTCGCACAGTTGTGTGATGATCAGCCACTATTTGTTGTTTGTTCTTATGTATACCTACCTATCTACCTGCCTGCCTGCCTACCTACCTACCTGCCTCCGTGCCGACCGACTGACCCAACTCCATCCATCCATCCATCCATACAGGCATGCGTACATACATACATACATACATACATACATACATACATAGATACATACATACATACATAACTTGCATTACATACATAGCATACCTTTTTGTCATACAACACATTACATTACGGTACAGTATATTGCGGCAGAGTAGAATGCATTACAGTGCATTATATTACATTACATTACTTACATACATACACACACATACATGCATACATACAGACGTACATGCGTACATACATACATACATACATACATACATACATACATCCATGCATGCATACATACATGCACACACACACACACACGTACGGACATGCATGCATGAATACTCACACATACATACATACATACATACATACATACATGCATGTGTGCATGCATGCACACACACATACATACATACATACATACATACATACATACATACATAACTTGCATTACATACATAGCATACCTTTTTGTCATACAACACATTACATTACGGTACAGTACATTGCGGCAGAGTAGAATGCATTACAGTGCATTATATTACATTACATTACTTACATACATACACACACACATACATGCATACATACAGACGTACATGCGTACATACATACATACATACATACATACATACATCCATGCATGCATACATACATACATGCACACACACACACACGTACGGACATGCATGCATGAATACTCACACATACATACATACATACATACATACATACATACATACATACAGTAATACATACATGCATGTGTGCATGCAT